TAAGGTGAGACCGCCTCCGTGACGTAGTGGATAGAGGTCCACCCAGAGTGCACTCCACCAAAAGACGTTAAAAGATGGTAATTGTTGTTACCCTGGCTGGCGCTGGGTATTTAGGGGCTAAAACAAGGACTGGTTCGGAGTCACGGTGTCTGAATGGGATATTCATGTTAAACTGCGGCATGGTATTTCAGTGAACGAGCACTATAAAATCCGGACTAGTACAAGCAGTCTCACACACATGTTTGAACGCGGCGTTAAACACCATCACCTTAAGATGAAATGGGTTTAACATCAACAGATAATTGCACTTATATAGCGACGCGCGCATGCTAAAATATTCACACGGCAAATCGCAATTTGTTTACGTTTGGGATTAACATCAATCTAAAGTTAGGTTCACGGAGTACACATTGTGTATGTCCTGAAACCTTGACGTAGCAAGTGAATGGATTCTGCTTGGCTTTATGCAGTATAGGTTCTACTTTAAACTTCATAGGAAACTGATATTATTTTGTTTGTTTGTTTGTTTGTTGTTTAACGCCGCACTCAGCAATATTCCAGCTATATGACGGCGGTCTGTAAGAAATCAAGTCAGTGATTGGCAACATGAGCATCGATCCACGCAATTGGGATCGATGACCACCCGATCCCGTTAGTCGCCTCTTCCGACAAGCATAGTCGCCTTCTACCGCAAGTTTGGGTTGCTGAAGGAAACTGATATTAACTCATATTAACTGATATCACGTTTCTGTCTGCAGTGTTTACTGCTTGGCTTTCCTGTTAATGTAATCGATTGATATATATACATATATTCGTCAGTTTGACTTAAGCTTGAACAACTATTGTAGTCAAGTCGTAGTACTCCTAAATCGCCACATTATGATTTGTCGCCTCAATGGAATTAATGTGATATTTCAATGTTGTAATACACAGTGAATTAATAAGAGCAGAGAGCAGGGGAGCAGGAGTCATTCCATTTCAGGAAGCATTCCTTATGTACTAAGTGGCCGCGATTCGCTGTGCAGAGTTGCGTCCCTTGGGCACGCAAGAAACCTATGATTGTGGGTTCGAATCCCGGTTCGCCCCGCTGTTTCTAGGTTTGTCAGCACCATACCCGTGCTCGTGGGTTTCACCGAAGTGGTAAACGTCTGAGACCTGCATCACTTCGGGCTTTCCTCCACACTAAGCTTACACGCCGTGATATAACTGGTACACTGTTAAAAGTGGCGTTAAACCCAACTCACTCACTCACTCAGCTCCAAACATAAATCTTACGCTTTACACCAAACTTTATAGATGTGCTTCACGTTAAGTGTTGTTATTCAGCCCGCCTTGTCCTCGCGTTGGATTTTATGAGCACTTCAAGGATATTAACCAGTGGTAGAGTATTTGTGAATGTTTTACGATTGGCGGGATATTATGGATGTTCCCAGGAAGACTAAAGATTCAGATTGACAAAATGATCTCCACAAACATCTGGTATCATCACTATTTGATAGTGATTCATAAACACCTGGTGTCATCCCTATTTGATAGTGATTCATAAAAACCTGGTATCATCACTATTTGATAGTGATTCACAAACACCTGGTATCATCACTATTTGATAGTGATTCACAAACACCTGGTATCATGACTATTTGATAGTGATTCATAAACACCTGGCATCATCACTATTTGATAGTGATTCACAAACACCTGGTATCATCCCTATTTGATAGTAATTCATAAACACCTGGTATCATCCCTAGTTGATAGTGATTTACAAACACCTGGTATCATCCCTATTTGATAGTGATTCACAAACACCTGGTATCATCACTTTTTGAACGTGATTCATAAACACCTGGTATCATCACTATTTGATAGTGATTCACAAACACCTGGTATCATCACTATTTGATAGTGATTCATAAACACCTGGTATCATCACTATTTGATAGTGATTCATAAACACCTGGTATCATCACTATTTGATAGTGATTCACAAACACCTGGTATCATCCCTATTTGATAGTGATTCATAAACACCTGGTATCATCACTATTTGATAGTGATTCATAAACACCTGGCATCATCACTATTTGATATTGATTCATAAACACCTGGCATCATCACTATTTGATAGTGATTCATAAACACCTGGCATCATCACTATTTGATAGTGATTCATAAACACCTGGTATCATAACTATTTGATAGTGATTCATAAACACCTGGTATCATCACTATTTGATAGTGATTCACGAACACCTGGCATCATAACTATTTGATAGTGATTCATAAACACCTGGTATCATCACTATTTGATAGTGATTCATAAACACCTGGTATCATCACTATTTGATAGTGATTCATAAACACCTGGCATCATCACTATTTGATAGTGATTCATAAACACCTGGCATCATCCCTATTTGGTAGTGATTCATAAACACCTGGCATCATCACTATTTGATAGTGATTTATAAACACCTGGTATCATCATTTTTTTTATAATGATTCATAAACACCTGGTATCACCACTATTTGATAGTGATTCATAAACACCTGGCATTATCCATATTTGAACGTGATTCATAAACACCTGGTATCATCATTTTTTTATAATGATTCATAAACACCTGGTGTCATCACTATTTGATAGTGATTCATAAACACCTGGTATCATCACGATTTGATAGTGATTCATAAACACCTGGTATCATCACTATTTGATAGTGATTCAGAAACACCTGGCATCATCACTATTTGATAATGATTCATAAACACCTGGTATCATCACTATTTGATAGTGATTCACAAACACCTGGTATCATCACTATTTGAACGTGATTCATAAACACCTGGTATCATCACGATTTGATAGTGATTCACAAACACCTGGTATCATCACTATTTGATAGTGATTCACACAAAAAATGGTATCATCACTATTTGATAGTGATTCATAAACACCTAACATCATCCCTATTTAATAGTGATTCATAAACACCTTGCATTATCCCTATTTGAACGTGATTCCTAAACACCTGGTATCATCACTATTTGATAGTGATTCACAAACACCTGGTATCATAACTATTTGATAGTGATTCATAAACACCTGGTATCATCACTATTTGAAAGTGATTCATAAACACCTGGTATCATCACTATTTGATAGTGATTCATAAACACCTGGCATCATCACTATTTGATAGTGATTCATAAACACCTGGCATCATCCCTATTTGGTAGTGATTCACAAACACCTGGCATCATCACTATTTGATAGTGATTCATAAACACCTGGTATCATCATTTTTTTTATAATGATTCATAAACACCTGGTATCACCACTATTTGATAGTGATTCATAAACACCTGGCATTATCCATATTTGAACGTGATTCATAAACACCTGGTATCATCATTTTTTTATAATGATTCATAAACACCTGGTGTCATCACTATTTGATAGTGATTCATAAACACCTGGTATCATCACGATTTGATAGTGATTCATAAACACCTGGTATCATCACTATTTGATAGTGATTCAGAAACACCTGGCATCATCACTATTTGATAATGATTCATAAACACCTGGTATCATCACTATTTGATAGTGATTCACAAACACGTGGTATCATCACTATTTGAACGTGATTCATAAACACCTGGTATCATCACGATTTGATAGTGATTCACAAACACCTGGTATCGTCACTATTTGATAGTGATTCACACAAAAAATGGTATCATCCCTATTTCATAGTGATTCATAAACACCTAACATCATCCCTATTTAATAGTGATTCATAAACACCTTGCATTATCCCTATTTGAACGTGATTCATAAACACCTGGTATCATCACTATTTGATAGTGATTCACAAACACCTGGTATCATAACTATTTGATAGTGATTCATAAACACCTGGTATCACCACTATTTGATAGTGATTCATAAACACATTGCATTATCCATATTTGAACGTGATTCATAAACACCTGGTATCATCCCCATTTGATAGTGATTCACAAACACCTGGTATCATCCCTATTTAATAGTGATTCATAAACACCTTGCATTATCCCTATTTGAACGTGATACATAAACACCCGGTATCATCATTTTTTTATAATGATTCATAAACACCTGGTATCATCACTATTTGATAGTGATTCATAAACACCTGGTGTCAACACTATTTGATAGTGATTCATAAACACCTGGTATCATCACGATTTGATAGTGATTCATAAACACCCGGTATCATCACTATTTGATAGTGATTCATAAACACCTGGCATCATCACTATTTGATAATGATTCATAAACACCTGGTATCATCACTATTTGATAGTGATTCATAAACACCTGGTGTCATCACTATTTGATAATGATTCATAAACACCTGGTATCATCACGATTTGATAGTGATTCACAAACACCTGGTATCATCACTATTTGATAGTGATTCATTAACTCCTGGCATCATCACTATTTGATAGTGATTCACAAACACCTGGTATCATCACTATTTGATAGTGATTCACAAACACCTGGTATCATCCCTATTTGATAGTGATTCATAAACACCTGGCATCATCACTATTTAATAGTGATTCATAAACAGCTTGCATTATCCCTATTTGAACGTGATTCATAAACACCTTGCATTATCCCTATTTGAACGTAATTCATAAACACCTGGTATCATCAATTTTTGATAGTGATTCACAAAGAAATACTCATGATCCGATGAATATGTAAAGAGTTTTGTCGCCTTTATGTAATCGCTGTATGAGATCAGACGCCATGGCGTCACAGAAATTGTTAATGTGAGACGATGTATCCCGACTGATATTGATACTCAACTAGCCTTGTAGATTTTTTGAAAATGTGGGGTGCATTTTAAGATTTTACAATAACCTTTCAGTAATCATGTAATTATGTACAAAATATAACACCAAACATGACTTTGTTACAGTTTTGTTACATGTTTATTTTATATTGTATATTATATATTCTTTAGCCCCCCATAGAAGATTTGAACAAGCGATATTTACGTAGGTCGTTAAATACCTGATCACCTATATATTTCTGAATTCATAAATGTTGAGAGTGCTTCAAATAAATACCTCACACCCTCCCCAATCCCCACGCCACTCTGGTTCCACGAATGCTCAGTAAGTCAGCATCTTTCTCCCAGCTCCACCTACAGCGCCGAGAATAGCCCCCGCTGCATTGCCAATCCAGTTCCACACTGAACGGAAGCCATCCTTCATCTTCAGACGAAATCCTCGGCTGACACACTGGGATCTTATGTCATCCCTATTGATGCACACAACATACTTATTGGCTTTGTCGTTGGAGTAAAACATCACTGCAAGTTTACTACCGTACACATGGAGACTCGCGCGCTCCCACACCCAGGTCGGCTCACCCAGGATGACTGAGAGGCAGCACTGCAAGACCTGCCGATCACGCTCCAACAGGCTGTCGTGGTGATCCTTCAGGAAGGAGCTGATGTCAGAACAATCAATGTATGGGCTGCAGTTGATCCTCTGAAATGACAATGTATTGAGTCAATTATTTTAGTTGAAACATTACGAATAAGTGAGTGAGTGAGTATGGTTTTACGCCGCTTTTAGCAATATTCCAGCAATATCACGGCGGGGGACACCAGAAATGGGCTTCACACATTGTACCCATGTCGGGAATCGAACCCGGGCCTTCAGCGTGACGAGCGAACGCTTTAATATGTGTTTAACCACTAGGCTACCCGACCGCCCCTCATAACGAATAAGAATGTAAATGGTTTGTGTGGTGGAGAGTTGGTGGTCGAGCGGCTGACTTTTGTGGGCAATTGGTAGAGAAGAAATTGTGGGCTGCCTCTAAACAATCAAACAAAACAAAAGAAATCAATGAAAAGGGTTAATTTCAGTACATTATTTCAAAAGAAGTTCCAGGGTAAGCCTCCTACACGACAATTCTATCCATTTACTAAAGAAAGCTAACAATATCTGCTTGGACGGAGTATGGTGGTTCGCTGGATGTTGTTGCTTCTTAAGTTTTAAGTATTTTACAAACGTTTGCAAACATTATTTCCAGGACTGCTGTATCTCGTTTTCACAATGTTCTAAGGCGAGATCGTAAATAATTGTTGCCTTATTTTACAAGATGACATTATTGGATGTTTACATTATCCTTACTTATTATGTTATCCTATCTGCGTAAGACATTTCAATCCTCATATTTGAGAAATGCATATGACTTTTTTTTACCCAGTTTAGAAATGAGAAAAGCCGAGAATAGTGAGTGAACGAGTGATTACTGCTTAACGCCGCATTAACAGTAACAGACAATAAATCTTTTGTTAATAATGCAACTTCAAATATAGAGAACTGTTTGTTAAGAGTGGACCCCCCCAGTCCCCCATAAACCAATGCATGCGTTCATGTTTTGGAATATTGTGATTAAGTGCAACGTTAGTGATCAGCTGATGAAAGAAGATACTTGATAGCCCCAAAAGCATTGTTTTGGCTTCATACTCACCACTAGGTGTCCCGGAAGTTGTTTTGTGGCACCCTGAAAAGGAAATAGAGGGAATTACAAATTCACAAAAATTAAATAATTTCTAATATTCTAGTCTGGTCATTCTCTGCCACAGATATAACGGCTTGGGGACAACCACCTGACGCACCAACACACCCAAATCATTGCACATACACTATGCACTTCCTCCGTGTGGGTGACAACAGACCGCCGTCATATACCTGGAATATTGCTGAGTGCGGCGTTAAACAACAAACAAACAAACACCATAGTGCACGCTGGGATATCATCGGGAGAAGTGTACGCCGACGTCAAAGGGAACCTGCTACGTTAGTCAAACAATCATGTGTGTGTGTGTGTGTGTGTGTGTGTGTGTGTGTGTGTGTGTGTGTGTGTGTGTGTGTGTGTGTGTGTGTGTGTGTGTGTGTGTGTGTGTGTGTGTGTGTGTGTGGAAAATATTTACACTGCTTATTGTATCACAAACAGAATCTTCGGACTTTGACCAGGCTGCATTTGTTAATTTGCAAATGATGTCATTTCATATTGTAACATCGTGGGACTATAAAATAATGACGTTATAGTCACATCGCGTGTGGCCGACACTTAAAGTTTCCATATTCAGGTGTGGTTGCATGATATTGATCCGTTATTTGTAGATGTCTAGCCCCCAGTTAACACAGTGCTGTCAGGTGTGTCCACTTATTCAGGTGTCGTTGCATGATATTGATCCGTTATTTGTAGATGTCTAGCCCCCAGTTAACACAGTGCTGTCAGGTGTGTCCACTTATTCAGGTGTCGTTGCATGATATTGATCCGTTATTTGTAGATGTCTAGCCCCCAGTTAACACAGTGCTGTCAGGTGTGTCCACTTATTCAGGTGTCGTTGCATGATATTGATCCGTTATTTGTAGATGTCTAGCCCCCAGTTAACACAGTGCTGTCAGGTGTGTCCACTTATTCAGGTGTCGTTGCATGATATTGATCCGTTATTTGTAGATGTCTAGCCCCCAGTTAACACAGTGCTGTCAGGTGTGTCCACTTATTCAGGTGTCGTTGCATCATATTGATCCGTTATTTGTAGATGTCTAGCCCCCAGTTAACACAGTGCTGTCAGGTGTGTCCACTTATTCAGGTGTCGTTGCATCATATTGATCCGTTATTTGTAGATGTCTAGCCCCCAGTTAACACAGTGCTGCCATGTGTGTCCACTTATTCAGGTGTCGTTGCATGATATTGATCCGTTATATGTAGATGTCTAGCCCCCAGTTAACACAGTGCTGTCAGGTGTGTCCACTTATTCAGGTGTCGTTGCATGATATTGATCCGTTATTTGTAGATATCTAGCCCCCAGTTAACACAGTGCTGTCAGGTGTGTCCACTTATTCAGGTGTCGTTGCATGATATTGATCCGTTATTTGTAGATGTCTAGCCCCCAGTTAACACAGTGCTGTCAGGTGTGTCCACTTATTCAGGTGTCGTTGCATGATATTGATCCGTTATTTGTAGATGTCTAGCCCCCAGTTAACACAGTGCTGTCAGGTGTGTCCACTTATTCAGGTGTCGTTGCATGATATTGATCCGTTATTTGTAGATGTCTAGCCCCCAGTTAACACAGTGCTGTCAGGTGTGTCCACTTATTCAGGTGTCGTTGCATCATATTGATCCGTTATTTGTAGATGTCTAGACCCCAGTTAACACAGTGCTGTCAGGTGTGTCCACTTATTCAGGTGTCGTTGCATGATATTGATCCGTTATTTGTAGATGTCTAGCCACCAGTTAACACAGTGCTGTCAGGTGTGTCCACTTATTCAGGTGTCGTTGCATGATATTGATCCGTTATTTGTAGATGTCTAGCCCCCAGTTAACACAGTGCTGTCAGGTGTGTCCACTTATTCAGGTGCCGTTGCATGATATTGATCCGTTATTTGTAGATGTCTAGCCCCCAGTTAACACAGTGCTGTCAGGTGTGTCCACTTATTCAGGTGTCGTTGCATGATATTGATCCGTTATTTGTAGATGTCTAGCCCCCAGCTAACACAGTGCTGTCAGGTGTGTCCACTTATTCAGGTGTCGTTGCATGATATTGATCCGTTATTTGTAGATGTCTAGCCCCCAGTTAACACAGTGCTGTCAGGTGTGTCCACTTATTCAGGTGTCGTTGCATGATATTGATCCGTTATTTGTAGATGTCTAGCCCCCAGTTAACACAGTGCTGTCAGGTGTGTCCACTTATTCAGGTGTCGTTGCATGATATTGATCCGTTATTTGTAGATGTCTAGCCCCCAGTTAACACAGTGCTGTCAGGTGTGTCCACTTATTCAGGTGTCGTTGCATGATATTGATCCGTTATTTGTAGATGTCTAGCCCCAAGTTAACACAGTGCTGCCAAGTGTGTCCACTTATTCAGGTGTCGTTGCATCATATTGATCCGTTATATGTAGATGTCTAGCCACCAGTTAACACAGTGCTGCCAGGTGTGTCCACTTATTCAGGTGTCGTTGCATGATATTAATCCGTTATTTGTAGATGTCTAGCCCCCAGTTAACACAGTGCTGTCAGGTGTGTCCACTTATTCAGGTGTCGTTGCATGATATTGATCCGTTATTTGTAGATGTCTAGCCCCCAGTTAACACAGTGCTGCCATGTGTGTCCACTTATTCAGGTGTCGTTGCATGATATTGATCCGTTATATGTAGATGTCTAGCCCCCAGTTAACACAGTGCTGTCAGGTGTGTCCACTTATTCAGGTGTCGTTGCATGATATTGATCCGTTATTTGTAGATATCTAGCCCCCAGTTAACACAGTGCTGTCAGATGTGTCCACTTATTCAGGTGTCGTTGCATGATATTGATCCGTTATTTGTAGATGTCTAGCCCCCAGTTAACACAGTGCTGTCAGGTGTGTCCACTTATTCAGGTGTCGTTGCATGATATTGATCCGTTATTTGTAGATGTCTAGCCCCCAGTTAACACAGTGCTGTCAGGTGTGTCCACTTATTCAGGTGTCGTTGCATGATATTGATCCGTTATTTGTAGATATCTAGCCCCAAGTTAACACAGTGCTGTCAGGTGTGTCCATTTATTCAGGTGTCGTTCCATGATATTGATCCGTTATTTGTAGATGTCTAGCACCCCACTTAACACAGTGCTGTCAGGTGTGTCCACTTATTCAGGTGTCGTTGCATGATATTGATCCGTTATTTGTAGATGTCTAGCACCCAGTTAACACAGTGCTGTCAGGTGTGTCCACTTATTCAGGTGTCGTTGCATCATATTGATTCGTTATTTGTAGATGTCTAGACCCCAGTTAACACAGTGCTGCCAAGTGTGTCCACTTATTCAGGTGTCGTTGCATGATATTGATCCGTTATATGTAGATGTCTAGCCCCCAGTTAACACAGTGCTGTCAGGTGTGTCCACTTATTCAGGTGTCGTTGCATGATATTGATCCGTTATTTGTAGATATCTAGCCCCCAGTTAACACAGTGCTGTCAGGTGTGTCCACTTATTCAGGTGTCGTTGCATGATATTGATCCGTTATTTGTAGATGTCTAGCCCCCAGTTAACACAGTGCTGTCAGGTGTGTCCACTTATTCAGGTGTCGTTGCATGATATTGATCCGTTATTTGTAGATATCTAGCCCCCAGTTAACACAGTGCTGTCAGGTGTGTCCACTTATTCAGGTGTCGTTGCATGATATTGATCCGTTATTTGTAGATGTCTAGCCCCCAGTTAACACAGTGCTGTCAGGTGTGTCCACTTATTCAGGTGTCGTTGCATGATATTGATCCGTTATTTGTAGATGTCTAGCCCCCAGTTAACACAGTGCTGTCAGGTATGTCCACTTATTCAGGTGTCGTTGCATGATATTGATCCGTTATTTGTAGATGTCTAGCCACCAGTTAACACAGTGCTGTCAGGTGTGTCCACTTATTCAGGTGTCGTTGCATCATATTGATCCGTTATTTGTAGATGTCTAGCCCCCAGTTAACACAGTGCTGTCAGGTGTGTCCACTTATTCAGGTGTCGTTGCATGATATTGATCCGTTATTTGTAGATGTCTAGCCCCCAGTTAACACAGTGCTGTCAGGTGTGTCCACTTATTCAGGTGTGGTTGCATCATAATGATCCGTTATTTGTAGATGTCTAGCCCCCAGTTAACACAGTGCTGTCAGGTGTGTCCACTTATTCAGGTGTCGTTGCATCATATTGATCCGTTATTTGTAGATGTCTAGCCCCCAGTTAACACAGTGCTGTCAGGTGTGTCCACTTATTCAGGTGTCGTTGCATGATATTGATCCGTTATTTGTAGATGTCTAGCCCCCAGTTAACACAGTGCTGTCAGGTGTGTCCACTTATTCAGGTGTCGTTGCATGATATTGATCCGTTATTTGTAGATGTCTAGCACCCAGTTAACACAGTGCTGTCAGGTGTGTCCACTTATTCAGGTGTCGTTGCATGATATTGATCCGTTATTTGTAGATGTCTAGCACCCAGTTAACACAGTGCTGCCAAGTGAGTCCACTTATTCAGGTGTCGTTGCATGATATTGATCCGTTATATGTAGATGTCTAGCCCCCAGTTAACACAGTGCTGTCAGGTGTGTCCACTTATTCAGGTGTCGTTGCATGATATTGATCCGTTATTTGTAGATATCTAGCCCCCAGTTAACACAGTGCTGTCAGGTGTGTCCACTTATTCAGGTGTCGTTGCATGATATTGATCCGTTATTTGTAGATGTCTAGCCCCCAGTTAACACAGTGCTGTCAGGTGTGTCCACTTATTCAGATGTCGTTGCATGGTATTGATCCGTTATTTGTAGATATCTAGCACCCAGTTAACACAGTGCTGTCAGGTGTGTCCACTTATTCAGGTGTCGTTGCATGATATTGATCCGTTATTTGTAGATGTCTAGCCCCCAGTTAACACAGTGCTGTCAGGTGTGTCCACTTATTCAGGTGTCGTTGCATGATATTGATCCGTTATTTGTAGATGTCTAGCACCCAGTTAACACAGTGCTGTCAGGTGTGTCC